AGCTACTGTAGCGTGTAATGCAAAGGCACAATATACCGGACAGGATCAAGTTACCTTAGAGCAACATGACCTTGGCTATTCGTGTTAACTACCTAATTGACTTCTCAGTTATATTATCCCTGTACACCAAACAAGTTTCTAAATCCGAACTTGTTTGTTGGACTTATTGCAAACAAGGTGCCCAGGGTGATTATAATAATGTGACGACAGTTGTCGCTTTGTCCCTGTGTGTGTACGTTGGCGCACAATGGCATGCCTCTTTATCTTACGACATGACATCTTTACACGTATCCATGACGACTCAAACGTGAAATGAAGCGAAGGAGAATGCGACTGCACAAAAGCACCTAGAAAAAAATGACACTACCAGGACGTTTAATTAGAATATTTGAGTAGGAGTACCCACCAATTTAAAACCCGACGAAGTCAATTCGGCGTATGATGAGATTTATTTGGAACATTTTTCACTCAAACCAAAATTGGTTTAGGAACCGAACTGATTTATAGTGAAGCCCGAGGCTCTGTTGTTACAATATTATTGTTTGTAATATACAAACGACAAAAAGGAGGTATACAGAAGCACGTACCACAAAGCCATTGTACAATTTATTGAGTTCGTTGTCAGGATAGGCGTTTTGGATGTGTATAGCTGTTTTATTGCCCCCCCCCTCTCCTTCCCTCTCCCCTCAGTCCGTTGCTTTGAAATTGAAAACATGTTAGGATCAGTGTACGTGTAGTTGTCTACTTTCTGACGTCACAATTAGAACCACAAACTGCTTTCCAATTTGTCAGATTGCCAAGAATATCACGTGCCTGACGTGTTTGTAATCTTTTTACGGCTGCTGGACTTACCACAAATAGACTGTAAGTAATGGCGGACGGACTCCAGCCTCTACTTGAGAAAGAAGATGCAGACTGGAGAAGAATTTATGACGTCATCGCCAAGAGAACAGTAAGATGGAAGGTAAGTTCAAACGCTGCGTTCGTTTGGTTGGCTGATCTGTTGTTATGTCCTGTCGAGTGTCATATGTTTTATACGGTAAGGTAGGCCGATGCAAACACAAATACGACAAATGCGTATGGTGTACCGGTAGTATCGTGGTATGTGAATTACATTTGGTACGGGGTACGTTACCAGGGTTTGGGAAGGGACGGTGTATCGTTCAAATCAGTTAGGTGTATGGTAAAATCAGATGAGTTGACTATCTCGCTTTTCTGGTCCCCCTGGATGGTCGATATTTTTTTTCCAGGATTACATTTACTAGCCTATATCTGGCAATGACGCATTTTAACAATACACAACATGTATTTAGGCTATATTCCATACGCTCTGTCGTGTCAGACCTTCTCCTCTCGACGCACAAGTCTGGGTTGTAACAAACAAGTGGACATAGAAATGGTGTTTCTCTCCCTACTGTGACGACCCTCTTCTGTTGGTCATATGTTATACTGAGTGAAAACATTTATCAAATCGACCGAGAAGTCCAGTTTGTAAAACAATAAATTAATCAATGATATACAAAGTAATAAAATACTATACTGTTTCTCAAACACAAAGTTCAACATCGACATCGCCAAAAGACTGCTCGATAAATGGAAAGATACTTATGAGACGTTCAAAGAAGATGCCAAAAAGAATGGTAACCAAGTTAAGCACATCGAAGGCAGCATCGGTCTCTTCACGACGCAACTGGCGTAAGTGTATCACAATTTTCGTACATCGATACTCATGTTACTTTAAATAAAGTAGCCCTTGAAGTACTATATATTCAGACACAGCTAAGTGTACAAAACAACTTGAACTTGGGATCTAGATTTCGAAATTCCACATGTACAGTTTTTGGCAATACTATTGAAACTTTCGTTTTCAATACTGACTATAACATGACCAAACGCACCACCACAGCTAACTATTGTATTGTATCTCACACCTGTCAAGACAGAGGATGTTCGGAAAGGGATAAATTTGCAACACGCATTATGCTAACCTGGTAACAGCTGTATGTCGCCAAGACTAGACATTCAAGGAGCAACAAACTTAGAATCATTGGCCTCAACTTGAATGGTGGTGAGGTAGTATTTATTGGTAGTTGCACGGTTCTTATTATGACTAATATTCGTCTCTCGCTTCTTATCAGACCTCTTCCCTCGGTTAAAAAGAAGATCAACAGAAAAATGCTGGACATTGTAGTCATGTTTCTAAAGAACCCAAAATGGCAGTTAACCAACTCAGTTCGACTACTGGCTTCCAGTATTATTTGGCAGGTATGCGAAGTATTTGTTGTTGTTGCATTTCTTAGCTTTCAATTGCGGTCTTCAGTTGCACGCCGACTCAACATGGTCTTATTTCCCACAATGCAAGTGGCCAATGCAGTTATGCAACTAAATCAAATATCTCGAAGTACTGGAAAAAACGCAGAAGCAACAGAAATAAAATCCCGTTATCTGTTGGATTTGTAGTTAATGGCTGACGCCACTTGGGAATACTGAACAATGGTTCTGGGCTCACCTTTTTAATATAGTCTATTCTGTGCGAGCTGGGTGATTTATGTATCGTGGTTTAGTCACGATGAAAAGTTATTGTGCAAGAAAAACTACAACATCACCGATATTCCCTGTGTTCATTTAAAAACACAACAAGCATACGTTGTAAAAAGTCATTAAATTGCAATTTATTACAGAAAATGGAAGAAATAAAAGTGAATTCATTCGTTCACTACACTTTGCTTCGCGTCCAACACAAGGCACTAGTCGTCATTGTCCCGAGCACAGACCAACGGATAAAAATCATGTTAACGACCTACGTGCCAATACGTACATACAATCAATTATATACGTCATCGATATTAAGATTTCCAGTCACCAACCGTTATCCGTGGACATTTTAAACAACGACTGAAATACAATTTCATTAAATGTCACTCACTATACATGACCCTAAACTGTTGTGTGAAAAAAAACAGAACCGCAGGCCAAACAGTTATTATTGAACACTGAGAATTGCCCATTCAACGCCTAGAGAATTAATGTTCCGGTCTGACTGCCATTCGATAGCCCAAGTAAAAGCAAGGTGAATAAGACAATAGCCTGCAAGTCTAGACCAGGTCGCTATGTTGCTTTACAATGCCACTCTGCATACTGGGTGGCACAAAGAAACTAGGGGTGTCCGTTACACTGTAAACATGTACCTTTCAAAAGACACTGCAAAATAAATCATTATCGTTCTAGGACACAGTAAACAGTTTTTATTATCACAATGAACTACAGCTGAATCAATTTCACTGAAAAGTATTGTTCTCTCCACACTAACCGGGCGGCCGTGTTTCGTCCAAAATATTCCAGAATACAGTATTATTTTTCCAGAACCACGTTGCGATTATGGTATCAACATATATTATTGTTGATTAAAGTTTCGACTTCAGTTTGTCTTTGCACTTTTGAGCCTCTAGAACAAACACTCGCTATCCGGATATAAACAACTAACTAAGTAAACAAATAAACGGACAGATAAATAAATAAACAAACAAATTAATTAATTAATTAATCCGAATTGAATGAAATGTTGAAAAAGCATTTCTTACTCACTCAGTAAATTACTCAGCCAGTTAGTCAGTGATATTGATATAATTTACACTTCGTGTGATTAAAAGAATCTATGGTAATACTTCCAGGGCTTAGAGAACAGATTGATGGAGTTGTTATCTGCTTATGACAAATGGATGAAAGAAAACGACGAGTTCTTCCGAAATCCACCGACCACGGACATCATAGATGAAATACTTGAAGGGACTTGTAGAGAAATAAAGTAAGTACAACTGTTATTATTAGTTGCCTGGGGTCGCGCAAAATCACCTTTCACGTGGTAAACAAGACACTGCGCATGTGCATATATTCTGTTCTCTGGTTGGTTCTTCCTTACATTGCGGGCAATACGCAGTCCATTCATACCACTAATTAGAACTCCGTAGATGACAATGTTAGCGTTTGGGTGAAAAAAAAAAAAACATCTAACAAAAATCAAAATATTGTTTTAGTTTGTTGAAACCCCTTGAATCATTTCAAGGGGTTTAAACAAATTAAAACAATATTTTGATTTCTGGTCAGAAAAAAACATGTTGGTCAGCTCAAACTCCTAAAAAATTGATGTAAACAAAATACAGATTTGTCAGTGAACAAAGCTACACACAAATCTGACAGCTGACGTAATTAAAGTACGCCCTCGTACATCGCATTGCAGATAAAACTCGTTGGAAGAAACCCCATTGGCTAACAACACTCTTACGAACGCTGATAGGCTGATTAGTGGCGTGAGCCCTTTAAACGTGATATGGCAGTACAGAATTGTTGCGGCAGTGTCGCAGTGTGGCAAATTTAAATACATGTATTTTAAAATATTGTTTTGTGATTTCTGCCTATTAGTTCGTGTAAAACGTGGTCCAAATATTCCAACATTCTATCCAGAATTTTATCCTACGCCGCTTCTCAACCACTGGAAAGAGAGAACGGTTATCAAGAGAACGGATACGGTGCTACTGTCTCTGTTATTCTTCAAAACTACCTCAATACGGTGAGTAGATGGAGCCCAGAAAGATGGAAATACGCCATCTATAGTCTAAAGTTCACACGTGTTATTAGAGGCTGGTATTTGGAACTAAACCAAAAGAATATAATATGGACGCGAGATGAGTCAAAATAAAATAGATGCTAGCCAACCGTTCAAATCTCAAATCGTGTACTCTTAGCACAACAAATGCATTTCCTTTATGTTTATAAGTATTTATAAATTTCAGTGGCAGCTGAATCCAACCAGCCAATCAACGAGTACAGTTCGCAACGACGTCATTTGAAAATGTTCAATAGAAACCTCTCGTTACAAAATTGTGAAATGTATTAATGCACTGGGAGTATTTAAAATTGTGAAATTGTATCCTATTCATTGCAGAGTGACAGTCAACTCGATTCCGACGTGTGTGCTAAATTTGTACCGCATATGTTGAAACTTCTTAACAGCGCATCCTCTGATATATTCAAGTTGGATATATTGGCGGCAATATTGAAAATAGCCAATCGGCAGCCGGAAGTGATAGCGCCACACCTGTCAGCAATGATTGACTGGTACCTGGGGAATGAGGACGCGGAGCTTCCGGCGTTTATCCGTGAGTATGCTTTAATATGTTATTTACGAGTATATATTGCGAGTGGCTTGCATTTGTGACTTTCACAACAAATGTCCCTACTAATGTTGTTCTTTTTCAGAGATTATCCAGTCAACGTATCCATGTAATGAAGAAGCCGTTCTCGAGAAACTCGATCCATTGGTTGAACGCGCCAAAGAAGCAGATGATAACTATATTTCTTACTTATTGGTGTTATTGGAGGATGTAGCCCGACATCACCCGGATGTAAGCTATTCGTTTTCATCTTTAATTTATGTGGCATGTAACAAGGTTTCGATTTTCCATGTTTTCTCGCAGATTTGTTAAAGCCCTTGTTCTGTTTTTTTTTTTCTTCAGAGAGTAAAGAGATATAATGCATTGATTTTGGAGAGCCTGGAAACCAGCGACGCCATGACAGTTAATAGTCTTAAAGTATTAGTGGTACTTTCATCAAATTCACCCGTGGAATACGTTCATCTGTTAGACACATTGATTCAGTTGACTGAGAAGAGCAACGGCCAGATCTGCCACGAGTCTAATCGCGTTCTTGCGAATATAACAATTAATAACGTAAGTTTCTATACTTGACTCTCGTTATTTCCTCTTATTATGCCCTCCTGACCATGACAGCCAATCAGATTTGCGCGTTACAGATAGACATGTCTGATATGCAGATAAGTCTGCCTAAAATTTTCTAATGTCTATCCACATCCGGGAATTTTCATCCTGAATTTACGTCAATAACTTGTCAAGAACAGACACGATAAGTGGCAATATTTATAAAATGACTAGTGTGCCAAGTTTACCTCCACTATTTAAATACCTTATTGGAAAGAAAACTGATTTTTGTTTTATTTTTAGTCGAGCTTCAATTTACCTTGAATTCGCTTGTGCGACCAGGCCGCGCGATTCATGACGTTTGTACTGTGCATGCGCAATTCGTTTCTATAAAGCGTCAACTAATCGCGAATTTTGCCGCTGCACGGATCTGTTGTATTTTGGATTTATTACGTATTTTGTGTATTTTGACTGTATATCTAAATATTAAGAGTTTATGTGTTGAAAGAAAATGGTGCAGCTCAGTTCTGTGTTTTGATGCGATGTTCCACGTCGATTGGTGTACGAAAGAGCACAGTGTGACGTTTGTGAAAGTAGAACGTGCAGAAATTATAGATGTATATACAGTCCCTCTATCTCTTTAATTGAAACAGAAAGAGCAGTTGATATTTACATCTCTATATAGAGAGTGTGTTGCATGATAAAACCCAATACAATGTTGTCATTCTTTCTATTTATAGATTTGTACGCAGCCGTGCAACTTGAATACTGCCCTGGAAGGTTGATGCACTACTGCAATTTGTGTTTTCAAATTTACTCCGTATAGTAATACAAATTTTCACCCCAGCATCGGTAGATATAAAGTCTTAGTAACCCTCAAAGCTTGTTGTCAACCACGAATTCGTCTCGGTTGATAATAAGCAGCTCTTCGGGCTTATTACAATTTGTGGGGGGGGGTGGTTGAACATTCATGACGTCTAGGCGCAAACCAATAACAGCTTTTATTCGCAGATGATATTTGATTTCGAAACTCTGACAAACGAACATCACGTTTCCTCTTTGTCGTCTATTTGGGTACGTGTAGTTTTGTATCCAATTACGAATATGATTTCCTCTCTACAAAATACAGGAAACCGCCAACAGAGTACTATGGAACCTTTTCAGAACATTGGAAACTGCCCAGAACGAGTTCTACCTACCAACCTTGGTACTTGTCAAACGCGTAGGCGAGAACTACAAGACAGAACTGGAGAAATACGAAAACAAGATACGAATTATTGCCCGGAATACAATAGCAGGGGTTCCAGAGCTTTCACAGACAATCCTCACAATTATTGATCAGACACGGTAAGTTTATTTTGCAGCTAAATTTTCACTGACGCTATCACGAGATCGGGCGAAGCCCACATGTCTACGTTTCGATCAAAGATGGTTATTTTTTTCTATAATTACATGGCTCCAGTTCAGTGAGCTAAGACATTAATTGACTAGTTTAATAAGGTAACATGATTTTGTGTATGATTCAAGATGGCCGATTGGCGGCAATTTGCAATTGCATTGAATGATTCAATAAAACTATGGCTTCGCAAATCATTCAAAAATGACGAATTGATGACTATTTTGTTTTATTTTTGAGATTCATGTGTCCTACCATGTTTACTGATTAATTTGTTTAAAATCTGTCACGTGGACGAGACATCATTGTACATCGCATTTTGCAATCCAGTAAATAAAACCGAGGACGCTACACTGCCTTGCTAGGCTTTTGTTTATACAAGTTATACAACGTGAGTTGACAAGCTACATATCATGAATTATTCACATAACTATATTCTTTTCAAACTTTGCAGCGTGCAAAAGCAAAGCAATAATGAATATGCTGCAGTTGATAGTCACAATGGAAATGAAAACCCGCGTAATGAAGGCATCGTCTCGGGCACTGTTTCCGGTCACGTGACGGACAAGTTCGAGGTAAACGGTAGCAAGGTAGGAGGAATTGACGGCTACTTACAACTATGTGGCTGGGCTCTACTCTTGTCCTACGCGAAGGTTAAAATTCGGGTACAGGACCAAGATAAGATAATATCGGAACAAGAGCAAAGAGTCGTGAAGCAAAATTTGAAAATAAAAGATCTAGAACGAAAGCTCGAAGAGCAGGGCCAAAAGATAGCAGAATTATCGGCAATTTTAGAAGGCCTTCAGTCTTTTTGTGTTCGAACAGTTTCAATTGAAATCAGAAAATAACTTTAATACACATTGAGATGCCAAAACACGGACATTTAATGTTGATCTGTGTTGTCAACTTGCCCCGGACTGCCTCGTTTACATGGCGGCATGGTGATGAACATACTTGCAAATTTATTATCTTTTTATATTAAACGGGATTTCATGAGGGATATACATATTATTATTAATCATATTTTTGCTTGCGTGGTAATAAATCTGCCAAAGTTTATCAATATTATATTTTACTGTACTTACTGCGGCTGCTTCAGCTTCAGCGAATATTTGTTTTTAACCTTTATATATGTATAACCCAAACCATGACTAACTCAAATAATATATTTACATGTAATTATCATATTCAACGGGTCACATGACCCTGGGTTTTCCACCCACGATAACACTGACCAATAACACTGAAGCTCCCACCAAGCCATTAATCTTGTCACCCTTAAAAGAAACCACTGAAATAAAAAGGGGCGGTGGGCTAGTATACACGTATATTATGATATATATATATATATCTATCTATATAAAGAATATTTATATTTTAAGTTACATGCAATTTTGTACTGTATGAACTCTACAAATATTCTGTGTGCGAATGTTATTATAAAAGTTAAAACCCTTTTGTAGGATATTTTTTTTGTACGACCGAATAAATAATATTCAAAGTTTGGTTTTGTTCTGTGTGAGTTTTTATTTGATTTGAATCAAACAAAACTTCAAAATTCACTAGTATCAAGTGCCACCACCTCATTATTTTGGTTCTATTTAAATGCATTAAAATCTCTCTTATTCTATCTCTGCACAGTTGTCAAACCTATGTGAAACACTGGCTTATTCCCACTAACCCCTGAAGCAATAATGTTTAGCATATTAAGCATAAATGTAACGGCAAGCTGCGAATTTGCATAATTTTTTTTTTTAATTTTCAAATCGGCTTTAGATGCAAAATTGCCGCCGAGATCTTGTTGAGACTGAACCCCGTGACTACTACTTATTTACCATCCAGATCTCGGCTGCTATTTGCGTCTAAGGGTTTCAATCTCACGAGTACGTCATCAAACCCGACACCTTTTCATCCGTTTCAGCGTCACCTGATATGTTGTCCGAGTACGTCTTCCAACATTTTGTTCACCCGAGTTCACATCTAGTCGTGTTTTTAATAATATAGTACTGATATTTATTTTCATCATGACTTGACAAGTGAGTTTTATTTGAAATACCATGGCGTCCTGAAAACGTGCAGTGTAATTGAACATATTATCACGGACACCAGTCACCAAACTGACAATGCAACGAAGCTTTTAGAAGATATCTACTTTTATCCGTACATGATAAGATGATACACAAACAAAAAATAACACAATATTGTGCTATAATATTTGAAATAACCGACGTGAAAGGAAGCAACTGCCTACTGTTACAATATTGGCCATATGCTTAGCAAAATACAACTGCATAATATCTAGCGCCTATTCACATGTTTTCTACACGTATTTAAAGAGTGAAATGAACAATACATATCCATCACTAACACGTTATTAATTAAAGCATGAGGGTCGTCTCCTGCGCATGAGCGGGAATTGAGTCCCAAGCGACGATAACACACGCGAAAAACGCAAATGCTCATGTGTAGACGCTTGTTTATAAACAATGGGACGCTATGGCTATCTGACGCATGCGCAGGTGACGACTCCACCGCTTTAAATAATCTGCATACTTACATATTTTACATTTAGCGACTAATATGGCTATCCTAGCGATGTTAAAGATAAAATTAATTGCACTGGAACTCCTTACGTAAACTGGCTGGTATTTTCACAATACATAACAAATCCACGCTCTGTTCCGTATCGCTTCGTTCCACGTGAAGCGCCACAGTCGTGACGTAGCTCGCGTTCGAATTTCATATAAGGAAACAATATATTTGATACGTTGTAAATGTTGTGAGGAAACCACTTCGAACACGGCGCGGTGCGACGACTGTGGCGCTACACATTTCGACGTCAATGAAAGTGGCAGGGTCCCAGTGTAGCAAGGCCCCAATGTATGTTGGGCTTTATTAGTAACAATGTGCTTGTTGAAAACTTTACGTGGCGATAGACGTCGCGCCACGCATGCGCGAGATATATGGGTCTCATATAAAACAAAGATGGCGACTTTGACTGTTGCGCAGATCAACGAGTACCAACTGAGACGTTACGAAGCTTTAATTAGGTATTTTTTTAGGTGATTGGAAGGTATCAAATGAGTCACTGGTGGTAATTAATGTAAGTCGCGCCCAGGTAAAACCTCATACGTGATTTCCATTAGAAGAGCGCATTGGATTGTATCAATGTTATCAACACAAATATCGCACATGCGTAGCGCGACGACTGCCGCGCTTTAAAATTGTTAAATTCAAGGGACGACGTCCAAACATATAGAAAGGAACAATTTCTTCTCAGTTAGATTTCTCTTGGAACAGCTTTCTCTTGAAAACTGAAAAATATCATATAACCATTTAATATATTAACACCATCAACAAACTCTAGTGTCAAGCTATACGGGGTTGAGGGAATCTGACAACACATTATTCCTCACTAGACTACAGACATATCAGATTGGTTTCCAGTTGTTGCCAAGGTGATGGATCCCAGAGCCAACAATGATTGGCGGTACATGGCGATACGTTTGGGCTACAGTTTTGATGATGTTCAAAAATGGGGAGCATCGTCGCATCCGGCGATGGAGGTACTCAACGACTTGTACCAAAGGTACGACACACAGAACGACCTCCAGACAACCCTTGCTCTTCTCGCATCACTCAGAGAACTTTACAGACACGACGCAATAGAAATTATCGAAAATGCGCTAGAGTCGGTTGGTAAGTGTCATTCGAGCATATCATCTGTGAAATATAAATAATGACATTTGTATTTGAAAACAACGTTATGGTTATAGAATGTACGTCCAATGAGCCTGCCCAGCTAAAGACAATTGAAACAGTGCTCCATTTGCAGAGTAGATGAACCACATACACAGTTAGTTGGAATTTAAAGTCTACATTTACACAGAATAGTGACTATTAGTAAAGATATTTAATGTAATGATTGAGTTTTGAACATTTAGCTGTTAACTCATAATGTTCTGATTCACTGAAGATAAAATCTACCTGTTCAGTTTGCAAACTCCATAATATTCAATGAGCGCACGATTTTACTAAATGCATCCCATCCTCACACAGTTGGCCAAGTGATTCAACATCAATTGAAAACAATTCAGACCCTGCCGAAGGTTTACATTGCCCACAGCACCGATGACAAAGACAAAGCTGAAATGATATCGAGACATATTGAAATGGCTGGGGTAAAATGTTCTCTGAAGAGTTACTATGGTGATGATGAAGACAGGGGCAATGAGGGGGAGAATAGTGACATGTACGCCGCTAAGCTGGTCTTAATCGTATGCACACAGAAGAGTCTCCAAAAAGACATTTTCAGTCAGGCGGTAAGTCATCTTGAATTATACAATTTATTTGCACATGCGCACCTCCATGCCCCTGCTCGACCTTATCTTCTGTCTTGTTCCACAGGTAAAGATAGCAACCCTTCTCAATAAGCCAGTCGTTTTTGTGTTGATAGAAAGCTTTACCTGGTCACAAGATTCAAACTATTCCAGCTACGTACGTCTTCCACTATTCGAATTTAGTAATAGTCAGATGAAGGGTGATCAATCTTTATGGAGGAGCAAAGTGTTCACCGAGCTCCTCGGAGAGGTCATTTTTTATGTCTCACCAGATTTTAATGAGGCGACCAAAGGTAATTTATACACTGTAACTAATAGCTTTCATCATCATTTTATGATAGAGTAATGGGGAATGAAGTTTTGCTTTGAATAATCATGTTGAAACAAACCAGTTTAAAAGTGGATGAGTAATATGAGTCTTTTGATGATAGTTTTAACGATCAACTACGATCATGAAATGTTTTCTGTGAAGGTTATGAAGGGAGAATTATGTCGGCAACCAGACGCCTTTAAATTTGACTTGTTTTCTAATTATAAAAAAATGCATGAATGACACATTATTACATGTCTACAATTCCACAATTGTTTGTAACATGTGTAGTTAGGAGTCAATCGAAACCATCAGCCAGATATTATTTCTGCTATATGTACCTTGTACCATGGCGTCATGTGAAGTAATGTATATATCATATTCCTATACAATGCATACACATTTTCCAGATTACCGTGATTGGATGATTGCTTTAAATGACATTCCTGTCAGAAACTTAACAGATTTATCAAGTTCTTCTTCAGAGAGCATGCAGGTATGGCATAACACCATCCTCTATATATAGTGTTTAGCCCTGTTGTCATACAAGATGACAGACAGAGTTACTAGTATAGGTTATTGCCCGACGCCATTGTAGTTGTCCAGCGTCCTGTGTCAACATTTTTTTTAAATATTTCTTTTTGCAAACAATTAACAATATTACTTTCATACTTGGTACATATGTTTCTTGTGTGGTCCTCTACGTGATTTCATCATTTCCTCAATTTTTAATTGAAATGCTATATATTGGACTCAAGTTGCTTTGATACTTGGTATATATGTATCTTGGAGAGATCGCTATTAGATTACCTAATTTTAGGGAATATTTTTGTCATTTTTAAAATTTCTATATTCGACTTCTTCTGAAAAAAAACGCTACCCGAATAGCTTCGATACTTGGTATATGTGTACTTTGGGTGGATCTCTATTAGACTAGTTCATTTCGTGATGTTAGGGGAACACTCCACGAATTCACAGACATATCCTAGAAGCCGACTTTGAATTGGGTACACTTAAACTTATCCTTATCAGTGATAAACTTTAAACATAAGAGTTGCGACACTTAAATAGAGTGTAAACAAAGACAATGTTATTTGATTCCCCACTACGATGTTTATGTAACTATGCATGGACTGCAAGACTGTGATCTGCCAAACAATTGTCATATCGCTCGTACTGACACCCGTCATGGACTTGGTCAGGATTCCCACGGGTGGCGCTTGTATTGAAACAATATCAAGCGTATCTTCACATTGCTATCTACAAGCGTGGTTTATAAAACAATATCCGTGTCGCTTTTAGCAAGTATGTGTTATATGGGCAGCTGACAGTGTGTGACACCACTTGTAACAATATAATTCGTAAAACATTATCACCTGCAACAAATTTACCCACGATGTGGAGGTGCTAAAATCACTTTTGTAATTTGTATTTAATGTATTTTATTCAATGTATTTCGGGAAACCTATGCGGGTGTATTGAATCACTTTCCTATCATAAAAGGTGCTCAATTTGGATCACGTGATTTAGCTTATAAAAAGACATGTTACTTGAGACTTAGGGAGACACAGATATAGACTCAGGGAGACACACCGGACCTAGTCCGCTTGTTTGCTCTCTGGGCTTGGCCGTTGGGCCAACGCCCAGATACAACATTTGTACTTATCTGATGTCAAGACTCCGAATAAAGATCTCCGGTTCACACCATCCCCGTTTACAGTCTCAATCCTTCCCTGACACAATTATAACAACTCCGACTTATAGATAATTTAATAAAATCAAAGATTGAGCCTGAGAACAGATAATTAATTATTCAAAATGAGTGATTATAAATGTTGTTATTACTACTAATATCTAAAAAAAACTCATCTCATGTGCGAGAGTGTATATTATATTATATAAGGAAAAGCAAGCATAGCTCTGCTCATGTCATGTGCACCAGATTGTGTGCCGATAAGTTATTTACGTACAGTTCCTGCATATCTGAACACAAATTTAAACCACATTCTTACAGTTTCTAGTGTTCTCTAAATCTTTGTCTCTTTTCCAGTCTGCCACAGACATCCCGCCTGTGTTGATATCATACCAGTGGAGCATGCAACATGAGGCCAAGCAAATTTATGCCCGACTCACAAAGGCTGGATTTTCATGTTGGCTGGACATCTTTCACCTGGGAGGCAGTGAGTGCATTTACAACAAAATAGAGAAACTAATTTCGGGTTTCAAGGTAATTTTTTTTCAGGCACATAGTAGCTGAATTTAAAGAATTTCCGATGAAAATTTAAATTCAACATATCGACAGTCAAGTGTTATAGTTCGAGTTTGAGTTGATCATGAGATCCGTCATGGTATTGTTGTTGTTGTTTTTTGTATCCCGCCCTGTTATCATCACTGAAATATACATCAACTATTCCATTACTTTATTTATTAGTTGGTCAATAGTCCTTATATGTAAATAGAATCGATATGTAGTTGCAGTCATATATTTCTATGCAAATACTTTTATGCATGAACCAGTGCGCGTTTGCGTCATGACGCTGCAGTCTAGTTGGGTTGAAAATATAATAACATCTGCACAATGCAGAATGAGATTTTTAACTAAATTTTACTCTTTTAACAGGTGGTTGTAATGTGTGTGTCACGGAATTTTCTCAGCTCAAAGGCCTGTAGACAGCTTGGTAACTTGGTCAAAGTTCTTCAAGTACCTATACTTCCGATACAATTAGAAGATATCTCCTGGCCTGAAGAAGATGCACTGGCAACCCTAATACAAATGAACAGATGTATTGACTTCACTGAGGAATTTGGATCCAGCACGAACATAAATGATGACAGATTTGGCGAATTACTGACGCGATTACGAGAAGAAAACTTTCATAAAGGAGATCCCTCAAGCCCAGCAGTAAGTAGGAAAGCAAAAACTCTCGCTAGAGTAAACAAGTCGTTCACGTATGTCCAGAAGACTGTTGAGCGTAAAAGGATGTCACTGACTGGACAGTCACAGATTCCAGCAGAAATGTTGCCAAGACGGAGCCGGTCACACGAACGTTTTGAAAGCGTTCGAAATACCCCCGAAGCAAAAAGGAAAAGCCCTTATATATCCAGATATACTCCTCTGCCGAATATTAGCTCTAATGGAACTACCCCATTGGAGCGGTTATCGGTTAATCACGAAGTGGATGAGCATACCCACAGGGACTTAAATTCTGAAGACAAGGATAGTTTACTTCTCAATATCAAGTTGCCTAACGGGACACGCTTACGTAGATATTTCCGGCAAACAGACACGTTGGAGCAACTTCTCTCCTATACAGAAAGTCATGCTCATGCCGGGATCACGAGGTTGGAAATAACACTGTGGAAATCATAGCAACAGATACACCAAAGCCAATGAAATATTCTTGCACGATCACATGCGTGATTTAATTTCTTTACAATTAAATGTATGTAACAAAAATTCAATTGACAATGTTAGCAATGTACATATATGCATTACATATTTAAACTGCAGCCAAAGAGTGGTATATAAAAGTATGTGTAAAGGTGACTTTAATCAAAATAATATATCAAAATATCTATGAAAAATACTATGCAGGTAATATTGTAAAACTTACTTTTAAATATAAATATATACTTAATTACAGAAACTAATGTTATTTACAATGTCCGTATGCATGAATATTTACATACGCCCAGTGTCTTGATTGTGTTGCTGATTATTAATTTACTGATGATCAAATTACTTTTACTTTATCCTCCATTGGAGGTTTCTTTTGTTTCTAATAAATCAATATATGTGATCATATCATGTCTGAAACTTTTTATTTATGGCCAACACCAGGATACACTTTGCATGTGGATTCGTTCTGAAATCAGTGCATCAAGTAACAGATGTACTCTTTTATTAGTCTCTGTACATTACGCACTATTTGGATCCGTATTTTCTGGGCCGGTCAGCGTTGTGAAGTATGCGTCTGCTTTAAGTTGCACTATTATTTGCCCTGGTCGTAAGTTCAAGTAAAATCTTGTAATTTTGAATGTCAAGCTGTGTGTTTATAAGTTTGTATGATGACTGTAATTCAAATCAGGCAGCGTTTTTCAGCGTTTACAAAAGGAGCCAGTCTACTGAAGTCTATCTTAGGAAGTCAGTCTGCCGAATTTGTTTGGCGACATAGACAAATAGCCTAAACTTTCCTTTTAGTTTTTGTATAGAACAACTTGTTTAGTTAACATTCGTCTTTACACATATGATAGAGCCTGTAGAAACATGACAATTAAAGAGATGACATCAGAAGACATCAATGACACTTGTCTGGTGTAGACCTATGGTTTCTCATAGAAACCAGTTAATGTATAGCGACCGTGGATTAGGTTTTGTTCATTCTGAAATCGCTTCTATATATCGTTCTCTCACAGATTTGACTATTTAAATTACACGTGTCAGTCGTTTGCTTTGGTAAAAACTAGTAATCCCTACTGTAAACACGTGTCCCAGGGTCAAGACAAGCCCATAGACATATATTTTGAAGTTCCTTGCACACAGTACTCATCACAACTGTTCATCCGACCATGACTTTCAAAGCTCTTAATGCATGATTGTTTGTATATTCCTTTTCTACAGTTTTAAAATATTTGCTTTGAAGGTTAATCTAAAAAAACCTTGGCCCATTAGTGCAGTATATTAAACCAAATGCAAAATAAGATGTGGTGACAACGCCGATCATGACTTACCAATCAGACCAATTTATGAATGTCAACACGGGTGAATCCCCTGTTGATTCTACTTTTTTCACAAATTGGAATAATTTAATCGAGTGTCAGAACTAATAAGTCTACACTGTGAAAGTTCAAACCAATGTTAAAAAAAAAACTAATTGCAGCATAGATTATAGTGTCTACGACATGCTGACAAAATTCTCAGATCAAACATTTATTTAAACTATAGAAATTAACCATATTCATTGAAGAAGGTACACAGTCACGCTTGATATGGTACAAATACAGTTTTCGATGTAGTCGATGGACAGGGTACTGAAAACACTGAATTTGATTGCTTGGTTTGTACAATGACATAATACAATGACTACTTGGGTGTTGAAATAACCACATGTGATCAATACAGAGATTGCCTACTTTACTAGACCTATTCACTTTCAGATTTCTTAGATTTTAAAATTTTGAATATGGGGGTACTATCCATAACCTTTTGACGAATACAGTATCGTCTTCACCAATGTATTCAATATTTGTCTTACTTATATAACTTCATTCTCCTATTATCGAAAACTAAAACTAAATTTTGTTTTTGACAGATCATTCAATTGACCAATCAGGGATCGTTAATTTTGACCAATCAACAATGACCTCAACTATCTAATTTTTTCCGCCTCTATCTGAAGACCATTTTCTTCTATATTCATGTAAAAGTGTTTTAGGCTTCTCTTTCATCTTTATTTGCATTGAATACCTCGTTTTACTGCTAGTCTGATGAAAAAGCCAAGACTTGGTTTTTGTTATGGACATCATATAAAAAATGTTCATTCAGTCACGCCTGACTCTGTGGTAATCCATTGCAGGTAGTATGGCTTGCTTTTATGCAGTTTGAAAATATGTATATATAAGTTTTAATAAAGGTTCTAATGTGTTTTATGTCTGGTATTATTTCTGATTCTGCTATGTTGATAGTCTCTGATACTCATGGCTAGTAATCAAGCTTCTTGGTCGACAAAATCCAAAATGATTGCTGTTTACCCGATGCATTTCACACTTGTTTCAATCTTACAATTGATCAATGAAAATCATTCCATATTTTTGTTCTTGCACGCCTCTGATCTTCGAGATCGGAGCTATTATCCCTATTTCCAAACAATATATGATATAACAGAACTGAGAACGCTTAACACGATATGTGTGAAATTCAAATTGCCTTCATAGAATTTGCATATTGATATAAATAATTGTGTACCGTAAATGGATTTATAAATGAACAACTTATTGATCTGATCACTAGATTAATAAAAGCAGTCTGCCATGGTGAAGCTGATCATTAATATTGATGATTCCAATCACATAATTATTTTATTTTATAAACTAGATCACATTGGTCAGCAATTGTTAGGTATAGGTTAATTTGTTAGACGACAAAAGGACCTATTTAGTATTTCTAACGACTTTCTGTTATGTTTGGTGAAGGGGATTATCACTAACAATCTATTCCAGTTATGTCATACACATTCCAAATGAGCATGTTCTGGAAGACGTTGAACCGTGTGAGGTAACTAATGACGAGTTTATTAAGATGTTCACATGTCACGTTATCAATAATCAAAAATAACGTCAAATATATACATACATATATTATATTGTAGACTTTAATACAACCCGAATATATGCCAAACATTACTATTTCTAATATTCTAAATGGTCTCCTTTATTCAAATGTAAATTTGCACCACGGGAATAAGATTGAAAGTTTCGTTCACCGCCGCAGTCTTTAAACCATCTTTCTTCTGTAACCCTAACGTCGGATGTTAATTCTAAAAACGTCTCTAGTGGGCAGTGTGTTTGGCATTCCGGAATCGTTAGTACAATGGGGTCCACCGAAGAATCGTTGCGGTAGTATATGTCGACTGTGTAAGTTCTAAAACAAAATTTGTATTTTAGATTTGTTAATATTTAAAATCCTCGATTTTTTTTGCAATGTATGTGTAATGTTGTAATACGGAGTTGATATACGGGGTTGTCAATACGTTACAGTATGCACAATTAATAATAGTCACGTCACAGGGATTATCACGTGAACTTAACTGGTATTGGGTTCTGAGGGCGTTATTATGCATTCAATCCTCACATAACTACAAAAAAATGCTAAATTATAGATCTCAGATTATATTATATAAAGTTGTAAAATAATATGCGTAAACTTAGTCAGAACAAAATGTCGGAAATTAATGTCACACATTTGTACACCCAAGTCTGGAATGTGCAATTAATCTATGTTATTGCGAATATTTAGTAATTAAAAGTAAAACACTCTGACATACCCATCAAAAACGGGAATTTCCATATTCCTTTGGTGTCTGTGGTGTCTTTCCCTAGGTTGTTTGTAGAATAAAATAACAACAGCATAAGAGTAAGAATACTAATAAGTCGATTACAAGAGTCTTGGTAATAGACTATTGATTGGTTTCAGCTACATGTCGTCACACTATTGTCGAATCGTTCAAGCATTTCCACCACACATTGCGATGCTGTGCTTCAAATCAAGCACAGGTCTGCGTGATTAATGGCGGACGTGATGACGTATTCTGGCGAAATAATGACGTGATACTGAAAAGCGTAACTGGCCACCAAAATCTCGCCGTGAGCGTGAGAACGCCGCGACCTATTATTTGGTATGCAGTAGAAGAGATGATGGAAGATAATGGAGCACTAATCGCGTTGCTCTCTCGCTTCCAGCGAGATTTCGGCGACTATTTACTTTTAATGTATATTGTGATGTTTAACTACTAGTATATAATCCTAACACGATACTTAGAAACGAACTTACGGAACAAGTAAAAGGTTATGTACCAATCAAGTACAAAATTGTAGTACCTTAAATGTAAATTGAGCAGAATATATCATGTGTAATACGTATCAGACATTCACCTCTCCTTTTAAAGCGGGGGGTGTCGTCACCTGCGCATGCGTTGGTTGGCCATAGCGTGTCACTGTTTACAAACAAACGTCTACCTAGCGTTCGTAGCGTGTGTTATCATCGCTTGGGACTCAATTCCCGCGCGTGCGCTGGTGACGACCCTCCCGCTTTAACTAAGTAACAAGTTTTCGAAGATTTCGATTGTTACCTTTTGGCATGTACATGCTTGTGTAACTCAATCATAACACATGAGGCAGGGGGCGGCACGATGTTATTGAACACACCTAGAGCATTCAGAATACAGGATATCATCGAATCTTGCTGAAAAAAAATGTTGTTATGAAATTTAAATGTTTACAACCATGCCCGCCAAACCACTAAACTGTCATGCCACAAGTTCGGCACAATATACCCATATTATAGTATTTATATAATCTACGTCTACGTGCCCTGTTCGATTATAACAGATTTGAATACGATAAGGTCAAACAATGTGTGTTTCTATGCCTACGATTTCCAACAATATTGTGCAGTTAAATTAAGCCATTTTTCTTCAACGACAATATTTTAGCCAGAAACCAGAAAATAAAGTTTGAGTCATTTTCTAACTGACATTGTATTTATTGGGTGAATTAGAACACAAGTGATTATTATCAAAATAATTAAAATAAATTTTAGTGCAAAATTAATGTTTTTACAGTATTTGTATTTCCCCTTTTCTAACATACAATAATTACATATATAAAAGAATATGTGCGAGGGTGTACTTACTCCTGCGTATGAATACATTTTGTACGTTCTATTCTGTGGTGACCGGGCTTTTGCAATCATGTTATCTGCAATTTCGTTTAGTAAAACGCCTAGAATTAAACAAACGGATTAAACAGACAAACGGCCTAATCCGTTTTATGATTTCTATATTTATTTCTATATTTCTATTGAAGTGTATTTATATGGGCATACGTTGATATTTTTAAAACCCATTTTTTCAACAGACGCAATATTTCAACCGTATTTTTGTTGTAAATTATAGAAATAATAAAACAGAAAATTGCTTAGAAATATTACACGAATAATTAATTGAAAATATATATAACCATTATTTGCAACCGGTTTTTAGTTGAGAATTAGGATTTATTTTTGAAGGTGCACTCGTCTTAATGCTATATTTCTATAAACACTTGTCAGGTTTGTATGCCCAAATGATTTCGAAAATAAAACGCAAATTAATAATACACGCGAATATCTTGCCCGATGATGTCGATGTTAATATTCCATGTAAGTGTGTTACGTGATTGGATGTTATACAGCACAGTGAGCAATACAAGTTGCATACCCTATCATGTGTGAATCGAAGGAACTGTGTACGAATCAAATTTCGATAAAAACGCATCACTTAAACGTTTTCCATCCTGATAGCCGACAAATAACACAGACCATGCCATACGCTTGTCAATTTGAATGTACTCCTCACCTTTACAGAATCGTTTCATTTCCATGTTATCAGAGCCCTCTTTCACTTTTGTCGCAAAGTTATTTAAATCCATTAGCTTATCAAAAATTGAGCTATTGAACCACTCTGGGAGTGGTTTGTTTCCAACTTTCTATGAACAAAATAAACAAAAAGGTGTTTAATTAAGACATATATCTTCAGTTACATTCAGTTACCGTTTTTGTCTCTGATTAGCAATTTTAGTAAAAAATTACCAAAATATCCTGTAAACGTTTAATTCGATTCCGTGCTGACTATTGTTATTTGAAAAAAAAAATCTTTTCACAAAGACCTAAAGAATCTCGAGATATTTGTATGCGTAATATTTAGCATAAGACAAATTCAAGATTATGATTTTATGAAAGCTAAATAGGGTGAATACTTTCAATGACTCGAACCCGAAAATAAATCCGAATCCGTGGCCAACTTCAGCATTGTGTCTTATTCTTCTACTTGCTGTCCCATTCAAGTTCATTAGTCACTTCTATCCAATTATATAGTATTATTCAGGTTTCGTACAATAGGCCTTTCGTATGACCCCGTAAAGGTCACACATCCTGGTAATTTCTTGGGTTGAGAAATTTATTACCAATGAGAATTTTTCTGAAATAATGTACAAAGTTATCGTCGAAGAACAAAAGGAGTTTAAATATTCGAATATTGAGGTTAAGTGCCATAAATTAGTGAGGTTATAGGACAATGCCACCCCATCAAAAATGTCAGGATATGCGGCCTTTAGAAGTCATGCGTGTGACCCATTCCTCACCTCGAAGTAAGACGAATCCGCAACTGCAACAAGGTCGAACATCGATGTACTGTGCTCTAAGCCAGATTTCTCTCTCATAAAATCTAAAAAATCCTTTTAAATGAAACAAAAAACAATTTGTCGGGAGTGATATAGAATTTATTCTTTCTAAATAATTACAATATTGGTATGTACATGTACTAACAAAAAAGTATCATATTTACTCATTACCAGAGCAACGCACAATAGTCATAACCTTATCGTGTACACCCCTCTGGACTGTCAGTTGTTGCCATGGTGTTGGCACATACATTTTGTCATCCTTTTAATTTTCATTGCTATAAATTTTCGAAAGTTTAAGATTTCAAGGCATTCGACGGTCACTGAATTCACTGAAAAACCCAAGAATAATAATAAATTGAAGATAAATTGAAAAATATGTACATATACATAAAATTCATGCTATTCTATAAAATAATGAGGTCAAAGTTCAGAGTGGTTTCTCTGTGGCTCAACTTATGAAAAGTGATAAACTCTCTATCCCCCCAAAAATAATGTTTACATGCAGCTCAAGTGATTTGAACAGTTTTTTAGATTAGCATTAGATTAGCACTTAATATTTGAGATGACAATGGACGTTTTGTCCCGCTGTCTTAGATGGAAAGATAGACGTATAGTTTTAGCTTTTTAATAGGTAAATGATTGTTTTGAAAATGAGCCAATAGTGGATTTGATGGTAAGCGAATATTGCATTGTCCAGCTTAAGGGTAGCAAAAGGTTACGCTATGCTAAGTTGCGTTCGGACTGGAGTGTACATACATACGTACATACTGAAGTTTTTTTGCAATGTGATATAATAATGACAGATGGTTTTGAATTATAACTGGTCTGTTTCTATGTAAAAAGAAAAATAAACCAAAAAACAAACAAATGAAATTTATACAAATCTTCAGATTGGGGGGGGGGGGGTTCTTATGAACCAAATGAAAACTCATTGAATCCGGATCTAACTGGATGATTACTTTCAATGATTAATTACTAATGCTCGTCAATTTGTTGATTCAGTCGGCCATTTTATGTGACAGTCATATCCGCTCCTTGGATTCACTTTCATAGATTTTAATTTTTTCTTGAGACACTTGATCAATTTTGTTTAAATGTGATACAAAACCAAGTATAAAATAATAGGTTTGATATTCATGCCAATTTGTTTTTGGTGTGAATGAAATTCTCGTGGCACCATTTTCTATTTCTCAATTGTAAATTCTGCCAATTAAAAACACGTAATATATTTGGACTATCTGAAATTTTAACCTGTTATGATTTAGCTCCATTTTTGGAATCCAAATCACCTGACTATTTTATAAGATTGTGAATCTGGTCAGAATTTAGAAGTTTATGTTGCAATATTTTGTCGAATTTAATCAACAAAATATAGCCTTTTCAACTGTTAAACACAAAAGACACCTGCGCTTCCAGGGACATTGCTCCTTTGATTAAATGCGACTGTCGATCAGTTTTGTAGTGTAAACCTGGAAAAAACGTACTTTTATATTTAGAACTTAACGTCTACGTCACGTGCGTACCTTCCCCACTGACAGCAATATGATTGTCTTTCGACATTGCTCATTGAATTCTGCTACCTTCTAAGTTGGAACCATTGTTATGACTGTTCAATTGAAATAGCTATGGACTAACAATGAGTTTGAACAATGAACGACCCGTTACAAGAACATATATTTACAAGGGATGAGACTTCAGAACACCCTTGGATACTGAATGGAGAGTTACACAACTCGGGCTTGCAAGTTCGTAAGTCGGACGAATCTCGTTCACCATTGATTCACTCCTTTACCTGAACTTTCGTCACCTTGTGGACTAACAAACAGTATCATATCAGTCGTGGATCGAATCTACTAAGCGTTGCATACTGAACTATTCGTATCTCTTCAATGTATATACCCTTACTGCCCGGTAACGATTCCCGTACGTATTTCTAGCCTACCTACTTATTGAGCTAATAGTTTACGATTGTTGAGTTCCCCAAACTCGGTAGAAACCCTGACCACAGTAGCACAATCACATAAGTCTTGCTGAGCCCATGTTGTGTACTGATGTCCCTATTAAAATACATGCCTTATTTGTTTTCTCGTACTGCCTAACCACTTCGCTCTTCTTTGCTTCGTCTAGAAGAGCAAGATATTTCGGACATGGAGGAAATCCTATGAGCTGAAACAAACAAAACACAGTGAATTACTAGAAGCTAAAGAAGGGATTTTGTGCGCTGACGTATATTGTGTTATCATGTCAAGTGACGTCACAACAAAAATATGTTATATTTATATTCACGGGATATGTTTTCATCATGGAAATTAAGACAAATATTAATATACAAATTATAAAAAATAAATAGGACAAATTATAAATGACAAAACTTACACAATCCATCGTTACCATTGTAGTGTGTATTGGTATTGGTTGCCATGTTAACACATCTTCCGGAAACCATACTTCTTTTCCCTTTGGAGGATATAAGCCAGCCATGTTGCACTGTGCAGACATCAGTGTCCTGTCTATATCAGTACTACGCGCATAGATCTCATTTGAATTGTACGTTGTATTTATAAGAATGTCACCATACCTATTACGTAACCACTCACCAAGGTAATAATGCTGCAATCTGCCAATCTAAGGAAATATACCGTCCCGAGACAGTTTAGTTTTAGCGTAGTGGTAGGTGATAAAACGAGTCCTCGCAGAATGTTTACGTGTGAATAACTGCAATAACGATATGACCAACACAAATTTAAGCAAAAATCAAAGTTCCCTTTGTTTTTATAAGCACAGACTGTGCTTCGGGTGTAAAGCATTCCTGGTCTATAAGATATACATTTTGTAATCATTTTTCGGGGGGTCAGCATGTTTTAAAATATAATGATGGGGTGGGTCACCCACTTTTTTTTATTTGATAGGGGGTGGGTCAACTGAGATTTACGGCTGGCAAAATGGAATCTGCTGACCCCCCCCCCCCCAGGGTGAAGTAACTGACCAATCCCTTAGATAGACAATTCGTCTTAAAAAGTGAGTTGGTGTTTATTTTGTGGCCATCCTGTGATGATTAATTTTTTGAAGTTGCCTCATCATCTTCTGTATCATCACAGACCTTATCGAGTCACTCTTCTTTCATTGGCTAGTAACTAAACATATTGATTCTGTCGATTTTTTCGTCGGTTTCGTAAATCAAGGAAATACTAGCTGTTATGGCACGCCTGATTGGCTGAAAATGAGTCTGCGCACTTGGTTCACCCAGAACTCTATGCGAATCCCCTTGATTCTGGCTGCTGGCCATTTTCGTTCATGACATCGTCGGATATCACCAGAAAACGCGGGATTTGCGCAGTTTTTAATAAAACTAAGTTAGCGATTATGAACAATGGTTATTAACGTAACACCCGATCCCCTCTGAACTTTTTGTTTTGCATTTTAAGGTAAAAAATCGACATTTGAAACCGACATGATGTCGATTTCACTAGGTGCCATGAACACCACCATAAAGACTTTCCGTTTAAGACATTGTGAAATTCTTTCGTTTCTGGGGAGAAAATACTCTGAAAAAACTAACTTCGACAAGATAATTCAGAAAATTATATTAAGAATAATTCATAACGAAATGTATTTCTTATGCATTCATATATAATTTTCATAATTACCGATTACACAAGAATATTACAGAAAAAGGGATAATTTGCTATATTCACTATATGTCTGCCTTCTATTTGGCTTGAATTATGACTGAAAGAAGCTGAATAAAATTACAAACTATGTAGTGTGTCCAATAACTCATGTATGCACAGCAACTTTAATAAATATAATTTTACTTGTTAAAATACTGTATGTTTCTGCATAAAAACGAAAGAATTTCATGTCGAAAACGGAAAGTCTTTATCGCAGTGTTCGTGTTTCATAATTTGTTCATTTATATGTGTATAGCGGATGACTTTTTAAAAAAAAATAGTATTTATTGATTTTTAGCTCCCAAGTGACTGTGGATTCTTCATCGACTAGATGCCAGTATGCAGACCATAGATCAACTTTAGTAATTAATACATTCTGTAAAGCTTCCATTTAACGTAAGCGTTACCTCATTCTGAGGTCACTTTTTACAGTCCATATATTACTCCTTTAGCGATTTGACAATAATAATAATAATAATCACGTATTCAAATTCAATCTGACCAAACCAGAATTGATACTGTGTTAGTTTTAATTAATTATAATGAATTAATTAAACATTATCCAATCAACGCAAGCACTTTATTTTGAATAAGTCTACAGGCGAGGTTGCTAAGTCACGTGAATGCATGCACGCCCATTATAGAAGAAAACAATGTTTAGCTCTTGAGCCAATCGAATTTGACGGCATGAAATCTGTTAATTAGTATTTAGAATGTGTTATAAATTTATAAACAAAGGTACAGCCTTCTGCCTTCCACTGTATTCTCGGGGCGGACATCCGGGCATTTTCAGCGCATGGAAAATCATCACGGTGAAAACAAAGGCCGAAAACTCTCAGAAAACGGTACTTTGTGATGGTTGTTGAGTCTCCCCTGAACAGTGTAACAAGATTTCCCCTGTTTGTGTAACGCATATAAATTTGGTTGTTCAGGATTACTTCAAAGTTTAGTTCCTGTTGTTTTCTCGAATTTTCACCGGCTCTTCGCTCGGCGTTCCGCCTTTCTCAGCAGCGCGCGCAGAGCCCATAGAAATACTTGGTACAGTGGTGAGCGTCTTAGCAACGTGGAACGTCTTGTGACGTAGCTTCGCCCCCGAGGATACCATGATATATAATAAGTAATGTACCTCTGATAATATAAATACTTACATTTGTCAGCTGGCCCAATCTTAGAGGCCATGTACTGGGAGATCGTGAGTCAGTTGGATAGTTGGACATTGGAGCTCGGTTGCCATGACGGTAAAACTAAAAATAAAACAACTCTGCGTATAATGTTATAATACTCTTATTTTTGTCTCAGTACACGGACTTTGTGTCGAATTTATTTCTGAGACAAGCGTAATAACACTGACAGAAATCTGAGTGATATGTTCGGTACAGACTCATAAATTGGACAATTATTATTCATAAATCACCTTACTACGCTCGGTCATAGGTATGCGAATAGCCTACACGCAGGTAAACGTGCGAGACTGTCCAAAACATACACGAATCTGTAAGCGTTCATTATGAAACAGTACTTTGAAGTGACATAGAATTATTTTCACTAATCACAATATATGGACATGACAGATAAATTCCCTTCATCTTTATCTATATTTATAAATTGCAATGACTGTTAAATCAAGTCAGCCAATCAGCGAGCACAGAGCGCAACGATGTAACTTTAAAACGTTCCAATGTTGTTCAATCAGCCGCCAGCAACCTTTTGTTTCTGTTTGAATTGTGAAATTTATAAAGATGAAGGCTTTGCCTTTGTTGTGCCCGTATACTCTACCTCATAAATCCTTGTCACAATTCATATATTTTACAGCTACATATAGAACGTTATTATAAAAAAAAAACATCAAACAAATATTTATTTTACTTAATAGAAAAGTAAAAATATATCTAATAACATATTTCCACTACAGCGTAAAAAGTATTTCAGTATTAAAAGTTCCCATTGACCGATTGAATAATATTTGAAAGGATGAATTGAATTGCCGAATGAATGTGAATTTGCCTCCGATTGAATTTGCCACCGATCGGATAGAAACGATAACCCCGAATAAAGCTAAACAACCACATTCGACTAATGAATAAATACAATTACACAATAACCGTACAAATATTGTGTAATGAACAAATATGACAAAAAATGATGTTAGCCAGAATATGTTCCAGTAAACGTGCGATTATCAGCATCGGATTATTTGGGGATTAACTGTAACAAAACAACTGGACCAACGACATTCAATCAAAGACAATCTCTTTCTATTGTCTTTGATTCATTGAAAATGACTTTTAATTTTTACAATGTATTCTTCTGTCGATTAACCACCGGACCTGCCTGCCTGGTATTGTACGTACCCAATGCCCCTGGGATGGCCGCGATGCGTCCGATACACTGCCAATATGATTTCAATTTAAGCCATTATAATATTCACCGTTGATCGATCGTTAATGTGGGTATAACTTACCACGTGAACCATTTCCAAAGTTCTCTCGGCGGTGCACGTCGACAAAGCGACACACAAAACAATAACAATCAATTCCACATAAACGTGTGTAATCATTTTGACTGCACCAGACGCTATGATGTAAACTTACCCGTCGTGCATTGCCGGATTTACGGAAAGTACTGGTCGGAATAATACACGTGTGGTACGTCACAATACTATGAACGGCTATTCGTGGATTCGTTTAAACACAGTTGCTGTATATCGTAGGTGATATACGTGGTGTATTACATTAAACTTAATGAGCAATGACTTTTGATTATATTGTTATAGTGAATCTTTACAACAGAAATTCGAAAATAACGGCGGCAGTTCCAAAAATGCCTGTGTTAAAAATGTAAAAATGTTTATCGATGACCTTTGTGTATAGCCACGCCTGTATTATGTGAAAACTTGGGAGGGAGAGGGTTGCCACTGCAGTCACCAGTCACAGGCCACAAGTTTTGAAGCTAGTGTCACAGTTGTAAGCTTTTTTTTCTGTTGTTGGTTGTTTATCGGAATCATTCAGGACACACGGTATAGTTGTAGTTATAATACACGCCATTTATTGTGAAGGATTCTATCACTCCCGTCTTTTTGTAACCGAAAACCGCCAATTAAAACAACCTAATAGAAACAAATAAACAAAAATAACAGTAAATAAAATATACATATAAAAAATATATATATAATTATATACCAATATCGGATTTCAATAATATTAGTCGTTAATATTACGTCATTGTAAATATACTGATACTAAAAATAGATAAACATTGATCGAGGAGTCCAGACCATACATTTTCAAATTTTTAGAGTTTCAATAACAACGGATTGTGATATTATTTTGAAATAGTATCATTTTAGATGAATTTTAGCCAAGGCGTAGTCATTACTACTTTACGCATCCTAATTAATGTTTGACCCTGTCCTAAAAGGTCACTATATTGTGTTACTATTATTGTGGCGATTAACTAGTCAGTCAAGGATTGTAATCTGCCGTTGGAAATTTGTCGAAAGTGGTTTGTTAACTTTAAACATTTATTTAGATATAAATATATCATAATTGAGGTTTTTGCAAAAAGAAATTACATTTTTTTTAAATGTGACTTCATCAACAACATTTTGAAAAAAGGCAATTATGAAAAGAATGCAAATAATAATACATATAATTGAAGCTCGTTTAATGATATAAATGATTATGAATCCGTTCATTCAATAGTTACAGAAGGTTTCCATGGTAACTTCATTTATTGAACCAATTATAATATATCACTTAGTTTAATAAACAGAAAAAAAGTGCCAGGTAATTAAATATATCAAGTTAAAGCTCACATAAATTGTTAGCAAATAATTATGTAAATTACACTAATAGTTATGTAAATTTGAATAATGGTGATTTGCATTAACTCATAAAATGTCGACATTGATATTGTACGCGCCAGATAGATTAAAAAGCGTGGAGCATATAAAAACACAAAATTATTTAATAATACTTAAAGGGCGGCAGTCGTCGTGCCGCGTCCTGTTCGATATGGGACTCATGGCGACGTATACAACGCGTGTAAGACATTGTTTATTTACATGAAATTCGAACACGCGCTGCGCGACGACCACCGCGCTTTAACATTTACGAATCCGCTACCTCCGCTAATGTGTGTAAATAAGGATGTGTTAAAGCTGCAGATTTTTACATGTGTTTTCAAGTTTATAGCGCTGTTCAAATGCTCCAATATAACTATATAGGCAGTTGTTATAGTGTCTATGGTACAACGAACCACTTTCTCCAAACTCAGTTTATAAGTTGGTGGCGTCCTTTTCGACACGTGCGTTCCGTCACTATCCTGGCACTAAAACCTTAGAAAATGAAACCCGATACCCTTTTTGGATTACGTTTTTGGTTTTAGTTGTTTTTCATAATTGTTTCTTCTGAACTTATTTTTTGTTTTGAACAGTTTTTGGGGCATTGTTTTTTTGTTTGTTCAGAAATGTGTGGTCCGCTGTATTCCAACTAGGTACGGTCCAACCGACTCTCCCTCGATTTCAGAGTTCTTAGCGCAAGCATGGAAGGTTAGTACCATAGAACTACCTTCTATGGCGCAAGCAAGCTATATACCTCTGCCACACATGACTTTTCACGCTATGATTTGCCACATATCAATACGCAAGTGTTGTTCGGTTATTCAAGACGGTGGCCCATACCCAGTTGGCAAGGAAACTATTAAATCTTTCTCTTCCCATACACTTTTCCATAACTTCCACCTGTTTTAAACTGGTTACCGCGAACTCCGCCATCAAGCTTGGGGAGTGGTTCTAGCCCAGCAACTTAATTAGCACTGATCTCATCAATAGTATACATGTATTGAGAACAGTATATGCATGTGACAGATACAAATTTGGCGGTTTTAGAAAATGACAATTTAAATTGAAAAACGGTATAAAAGACGAAATTTGTTTTGCCATTGCGTTGAGTACGGTATAAGAACAGAAATACCACGCAGCAAAGTATTGCTATTTCAACCACAATGAAAGGGACTTGGGTCTTATGTATAACCTCCGAATATATCACCAATCATGACACAAATTCACTATCAATATGAATTGTTAACACGTTACTGTAAATAACCCAGTCCCAGTTAATAACTGTTGGCCGACATACTCAAGTTTTAGGATTTAAACTTTTTCTCTCAAAAAACATCCACCAAATTCTATAAGCTGACAAAATGTAATTTGAGGTATCTTGTGATTTGTGTATCCACTTTGAACATTATTGGTAATTGCGTTTATATATCTGCATCTTTAATAATTATTCATCCAATGCCACATCTGGTTATGTCAACTAATGTTGGAGAAACGAATCCGAAATAATAGTCCGATAATAGGCACTAAAA